TAAACTTTAAACGCTCTAAAAGAGCACAGCATGTCATGATTTCAGCTCCCTGCCTCTCGGCCACGCCCACTTCTCCGCTGGAGAGCAGCGATTTGACACGCTGCATGAAGAAGCTTCTCCTGCAGCTGTGTGCTGCACACAGGTGCAGCAGGTGCTAAGTAATTTAAAATAATTTATTTAAATTTTAAAATCCATGCCGATCGTGTAGCTCATCCATCAATCAGCCAATTGTGTCATGTCCAAACTTACTATGAAAAACCGCGATAGAGCAAGTCCGGGATAAATGAACTGCGAAGTAGCGAGGAACAAAACAAAGCAAATCAACAAAAAAATGTTGAAACGTTTTTTGTTGATTTGCTTTGTTTTGTTTTTTTGAATGTCCAGAGGACCAGATTTAACTTTTTTAGATTTTTCTACCTGGATTATTGAGCATGCATCAGGATGTTAAATGAAGTTTTTTTTTCTTCTTCTTTAGGCCTCAAGCAATAAAATAAAGACTGCAAATCATAGTTTAGACAACAAAAAGGTTGGGAGTCAGTGCACTACAGTCCTTAAATAACTTATAATAATTTATCATTAGGAAGATAATGGTAAAATATTTTGTCCAGAAGAATTCAAAATACAAACAGGTCTGTGTGAGGTGGAACGTGTCTTCTCAAAGGTTGTATTTCCCTCAGCTTGATAGTGAGTGGATTACTGGGTCTAAATCTCCTGTACGCTCTGAGTGCTATAATCGCTGAGCGAGCACAGGCCGAAGCAGCAGATGTCACATGGTCCGCAGGGTGAATTCTGGGGAATTATGTGGGACAATTGCTGGATTGCCTGGGCATCAGAAAACCAGAAGGGAGGAAAGTGAGAGAGGAAGACAAGCAGGAGGGGAAGGGCTGAAGGACTCGGCAGGGACTCACTGAGGGGGAGGGATGCCACAACTGGAGGGGATTTCTGTGTCATGGCAGTGGAGAAAAAGTTCACGAGGATGAGTGCGGGTGGAGGGGATTTCTATGAGAGGAGAGAAGAGTCAAGCTGGACTGAGATAACAGAATCAACAGCGAGGAATAAGTACGGTAGTCTGTACAGTAGCTATAATTCCTTCTTCTTCCAACGTTTTGGAACAAAAACGCCTCTGTGGTTGTGAATACAACTACATACCCCCAGGGAGGACTTGGTGAAGACTCCCTGCATTAACTCACTCACTGGAGAGTCACGCGCACCACTTGTGTATGAAAAAAAGCGATGGAGATGGGAAATGGAAGTGGACGGGCCCAGCTGCAGTTTGTAGTGTCGAGGGTTTTAAAAAGCTGAATGAAGCGAGCCGAAGCAGAGACGGGGTGGGCAGAGTGGCAGAGTCATGGTTCCCCCAAGAAAAGAAAACATTTTTCCTCTCTGCAGTGCCGATTACTACAAATTTGAGGGGAGAGACTCTGAGTCACTGCCTGTCCTACTTATGCTAAGTGCCTGATCACCATGGGCTCTGGAATAAAGTGAATAGATCTATTTTAGGACTTTGATCTGAACGTGGAAATAAAGCAAAGAAGAAATGGAGATGCATTGACATGAAATCCATCAAACAAACGTTATAGTATTTTTTTAAAGATAAAAATGAGGGAAAACTTCAGCTGACTGGGCATTTGCTGCAATTTTCTGACCAAAAATGGACGTACCTTGATATGTTTGACACCGCAGCTTACAAGCTTGTTCGGCTGATACAAATCCCACGATATGTCAAATATCTGTGAAGAAAACACGTTCAGCACTTTAAATATTAATACTCTTGCATCACAAATATACCAAATGAAAACAAATGTGCATGTCTGCACTATCCGAGCCTGAATTAGAAAAACAACAGCTGCCCAAGTTTCATCTGTTTAAAATTCCTTTTCATTAGCCATGCACCCTCCCAGGCTCTGCAAAACCCACCATCTATCAGACTTAACTTGTTTATGTCCTTATCATGCAGGTGCTTCATCCTGCATTTGCAGCTAACTGAAGCAGTCGATACAGATACTCATGACGGAGACCTGGTGGGAAGAAAGTCTTTACCCTGTCTGTATGTCCAGGAGCGGCTGCCAGAACCCTCCCTCTCCTCCAATCCCACACACAGATTGTATTTTTTGAGTCCAAGCCCACGGACACCAGACACTGCGAAGAGAGCAAAGACAAACACCTCACGGAGTGAACCGATGCTTGCAAACCGTCAATATGATGCAGCAAGCCATGATCAAAGGGCTAATAATGGCTGCGGAGCAGAGGAGAATAGTTGTCCGGCCTCTGGCACTTCCAGTGAGCACATTTGAGTGTGTTTGCCAGAGGAGCCACCTATAGCTGACTGAGTAGGCAGCATCAGTGGAGCAGAAGAAGAAAGATCAGCTCTCATGGAAATCCTCCTCTGCTCTGCAGCTTACTTTACATGATAAGGGATGCCCTCTTTAATCCGCTGCAGAATCAGTGCTCAGCTATGTGTCTAGTGAGGCATTGTGCAGTTTTAACTTGCAATAAGGCAGTTTGTTGTGTAAAGAAGCACAGCCAAACCACGTGACTAATGGTTAGCTCGGATGCTCTGTCAGCCATCTATAAGCGTTTGGATGGGTTACAATACATTTCTGAACATCTACGGTTTCCAGATGAAATGTTTGATGATCTGGAGGTTCTGTGGAAATTATTACATACAACTTTAGTCATTTCTGAAAGTGCAAGAAGGGATTTTATTTATTTATTTTTTGGTGGTACTGTGAAAAAATATAAAGTACGTGCATTTTTTAAAATTCAAACACCACTTCCATCCATCCATCCATTATCTTTACCCGCTTATTCCATTTTGGGTCACGGGGGTCGCTGGTGCCCATGTCCAGCAATCACTGTGCGAGGGGCGGGGTACAGGACAGGTCGCAAGTCCATCACAGGGACACATAGAGACAAACGAGACAAACAACCATTCACTCTCTCACTCACACCTAGGGACAATTTAGAGTTACCAATTAGCCTAACATGCATGCTTTTGGTCTGTGGGAGGAAACCGGAGTACCCGGAGAAAACCCACGCATGCACGGAGAGAACATGCAAACTCCACCCAGAAAGGCCCCTGGACCGGGGTTTGAACCAGGGACCTGCTCGCTGAGAGGCAGCAGCTCTGTGCTGCCAAACATCACTTTTTATTGCAAATGATATGATGATTAGCAAATCACAAGCATTTCCAGAGATGAGCGCAGCTTAACGAATGGTGGTTGAGGTTGAATTTTAGATTAAACTACTGCACGAGGTGAGATGAGCTAAACTGGCCAAAACAGTGAGAGCAAGAATAAAGCAGAACAAAGTCTATGACTTATTTTACTCTTTTTATGTGACAGCAGAACTGCAGCACATGATGTCCAATTTCTACAAGAGGTGTTTTAAACATGACTGTGTATATATATATATATATATATATATATGGATGGGCAAGATAAACCCACCAGAGATTCCTCTGGATTGTCCCGAGTTCAGCCCTCACTTCCCCTGATCCAGAAAACGAATAGATAGGAAGTAAATAGCGCTGCTGAACACTGTCGCATTTGATCTAAAGCTCTAGCTCAAAGCCTGAAAAAAAAGGCAAAAAGGTCCTCTCTGTGTCTCTTAATGGAAAAAAACGTTCATGGTGGAAGTTAAAAATTCCTTTAAAATGTGAGCTTTACATGGCTGTGTTTAATTTTTAACCAATCGTAAACCTAATGGTTAAAAAAAAAAGAAGAAAAATAATAAAAATTTGCAGACTTTACTGACTGAATTCTATTTGCTGCTTATGTTTCTCTACATTTACCTCACTGTCCTGTTAAAGTAATCAAATTAAACACTGCGGCTGATCGTTTTCCTGTAAAACCATTAAAGCAATGACTTCTTTCTTCCTAATGTTGTCCCTCTGGGACAGAGTATCGCTGTCGTTTAAATATGGCTTCACAACCGCACCTGTCCTTCAAGGTCAAAGGCCAGACAGGCGATCCCATGAGTGTGCACATCTTTCAGGATGGACACAGTCTGCACAGTGTAGGAGTCCCACACACAGATGTAAGGCTCCTTGCCCACTTGCCCCGTGGCCACCAAAACTCGCTCCGGATGTAGCGCTAAACTGCAAAAAAAACAAAAGCAAAAGAGAGGAGAGAGAAAAAGATCTGGTTAGTGTTCCAGTTTGCGTGCTCGCCTGCGTGTGCCGAGGGTGGCTGGGGGATTCACCCTGCCAGCAGAAACCACTGGCATGAGATGAGCACATTAAGTCTGCACTATGGAATCAGAGGGGCAGCTTGATGAGGTGACATGGTTGAATTAACTCAGTCACGCCCGAACACACACGTGCGCAGCCTGGCTTCGTTCAGGGCTAGTTTAAAACACCCCAAACAGGACTGGTGAAACAGTTCTGCTTTCTCCTTTGTCTTGCCCATTCCTTGAACCATCCTCTCCTTTCACCTTCTCCCTTTCGTCCCGAGTTTCCCCTCATCACATTTGTAACAGTTACATAATCCCACCCTCCCTTTCAGTCAAACCTCCCTGCACCTAACCCTTCTAGCTGCCTGCTGTTTTAAACTGACTCCTCGTTCACCTGACCGTTCTTCTTTGTCCCTGCCTTTATAAGTCACAGAGCTCGTTATATTGAAGTTCAGCAAGCTGCTCATTTTCTAATCCAGGCCTTGCTCCGTCTGTCACGACACACACTTTTACATCACTTGTTTTCCAACATTTACAGTGTGAATTTTCTATACGACTAGTAACTGTATTTGAAATGTGTTGCGTTATTGACCTGGCAAAGGTCTCTGACAGCTGAGGTGTGTTCAACCGGCGATGAAGTGTTTTCGTCCATTGCTTGGCTTTGTTGAGCCTCTTCTCCAACCTGGCAATTTTCTCATTTTACTTTTTTTTTACTTATATAATCAGAGCAAATGGGCTAAAAATAGCTTTCAGGGGAAAAAAAAAAAAAAGATTGGACCACTTTGAGATGCAGACAGACACAGCAATGAAAGCCACTTTGCTGAGAGCAGGTACCGCTCAGTGAATTTGGCAGATTTGAAATCGGAGCAAACACAAAAATATCCACTTGGACTTTAAATCCAGATTTAAACTTTTATCTGATTCTTGCATTGTATTGTGCGTTTTTATGCACGGTGTAAAGATATTAATGAATGCAAAACAAACAGGCTTTTTGAGCCAGCTACAGCATCACTGTCTCACTTACATTCCTCCATCTGAAGAGCTCGCTAAATGCCATCACTAATGACTTTGCCTGCAGCGTGTTGCCACGGCTCCTCTGTTTGATATAAGCAATGGCTGTTTGGCTGCCTTCCATCTGCCAACTGCAGAAGCACAAAAGTAGCTACAGCAAATACTGCAGCAATTAAACTGCTTGTTTTCATGGAAATTTAAGGCAAATAAACAGCCTCAGGGGATGATTTCTCAAGGTGAAGATGCAAACGTGGCACAAGAGTCACAGGACAGCTAAAAATATTTATTTTGCTTCCAGGAAATCGGCAAATACATTTTAATGAAACGCTTAAGTCACAAATGATCATGCCTGATAAAACATACAGCAATGTGCACCTCGGATTTACTTTAAATTCTCTTCCAGGATCAAAAATCCAAAAACACTGAAAAATATCTTTCAAACATTGGGTTTACGCTTAAAAAAATAAATAAATAAAACAGTTTCCATGAAGCAGTCGTTCATAAATGAGCAAAATAAAATAAAATTACCTTGTTGGTTTGTGAATTGACTCATATATTATTGCTTGAACATCTTTGGTTTGTGACAAAACAAAACAATCATTTGCAACATTTTTTTTCAGAGCAAATTGCTTTATAATAAGAGTAATATATAATACTGATTTTTTTTTGTGTCGGTTCTAATAAAGAGATGCTTTTCACATCCTTAATGACATATATTTTGATAATGCATGATACATTACTAACCCACCAGCTTTGGTTAGTGATATTTATCATTACGCCACACTGAAATCTTACCAACAGTTTTTAATGAATTCATCTAAAAAAGTGGTTAATTAGGCCAAACAGGACAGTGAGTAAATAAACTCTCACATCCTAATTAGGTAAGAGGATCTTAAAGCAATCCACAGTAGGTATGACCACTAAAATATATGAAGCTCCAGATTTCTTAAAGGAGGATAAATGCAACTCACTGACAAGATGACCCAAGACTTCAGCTTTGAATTATTGCTAAAGAAACGGGTAAAGGAGAGCTCAAATCATTCTGGCTGCATTAAAGGGTATTAGTATAATAATCTTCTTATATACAGACAAGAACTCTGCAGAAACTAAAGCTCAAGTCAATATGTTGGGAAAAAATATCTCAACAAAACATCAAGAATAAACAAAAAAGATTAAATGATAAGAATATTTGGATTGTTTCTATAGCTGTCTTCACATGCTCACTTTTTTTAAAACCTTAATAACAGTAAATCCATTAATTAAGAAACATGGACTTGACCCTTCAACTTGCTCAAATTTCAGACAAATCTCAAAACTTCCCTTTCTTTCCAAAATCCTGGAGAAAGTAGTTTTTATTCAACTAAATGAGTTTTTGAATGGGAACAGAATTTTTTAGATCTTTCAGTCTGGTTTTAAACAACTTCACAGGACCGAAACAGCTTCGGTGAGGGTTTGTAATGGCATTCTGTTATCAAATGATTCTGGTCAGCTTGTGGTACTTGTGCTCCTGGACCTTACTGCTGCTTTGGATGCTGTTGACCACAGTATCCTTATATCACGGTTGGAACACTGGGTTGGGATTACAGGTGCAGCATTAGAATGGTTCTGCTTGTACCTGAGTGACAGGAGTTTCTGTGTCAAGGTGAGTAATAGTGTCTCTACCTCAGTGCCTCTTTCATGCGGTGTCCCACAGGGCTTGATTCTTGAACCCCTTCTGTTTTCACTCTATTTGCTCCCTTTGGGGTCTATCCTGAGAAAGCATGGTGTTTCATTCTATTGTTATGCTGATGATTGTCAGATTTATTTGCCCTTAAAACCAAATACTTCTTGCTCTATTCATCCTCTGTTAAAATGTATTGAAGACATTGAGGCATGAATGGATTCAAATTTATTAGGTTTTAATGATCAGAAGACTGAAGTCATTGTGTTTAGCCGTAGCTCAATCACTGCCTCTGATCATGTAATCCTGGACTCCCTTCAGCCATATCTTAAGCAGTCTGTTAAAAATCTCAGGATGGTTTAAGACTCTGACTTCACATTTAATAAACAAATCAACTCTGTTCTGCAGAAAAGCTTCTTCCAGTAAAGGAAGATAGCTAAGCTTAAGTTAGTGTTGTCCTGATCTGACCTTGAAATACTAATCCATGTCTTTACCAACTGGACTACTGTAACACACTATATGCTGGGGTCAGTCAGGTCTCCATTTCCCGTCTCCAGCTCAACCAAAATGCTGCAGCTCGGCTCTTAACTGGAACTCGTAGGTTTGAGCACATTGCACCAGTTTAGTCCTCCCTTCACTGGCTCCCTGTGTGTACCAGAACTGATTTTAAAATTCTAGTGCATCAATGGCCTTGCACCCCCTTATCTCTCTGAGCTACTGGAACCATATGTTCCCTCTCGGGCCCTGAGATCATCTGATCAGCTGCTTTTAACTGTTCCAAAAACAAAACTGAAGCTCAGAAGCGATTGGTATTTTTCAGTCATGGACCCCAAACTTTGGAACAATCTGCCCCCACCGAACATTAGGCCACTTCTCTTCCCATTTTTAAATCTCTGCTAAAAACACATCTGTTTTGTCTGGCATTTCACACAGTTGAGTTAGGTTTTTTTTTTCTCTGTGTTTCTATGTTATTCTTTGATGTTTTTAATTAATTTTCGGCACTATCGTTGTTTTTATTTTTTCCCATTAGATTACTCTCCTTGAATTTTTTTGCGAAGCACTTGGTAACAGCTTCTGTTTTAAATGTGCTTTATAAATAAAGTTTACTTGACTTCGTATATAGAACTAATTCACTCTCTGGTTTTCTCAGACACTTCTCGGATTAAACCTGCAAGATGTTTCTTTGAAAACGTGACACATTTAATGCATGAACTCTGCAGCTGAACTGACAAAAGCTGTATTTACTGCACCTCTGCAAGCTAAAAACCAGCCCAGCCTGGATCTGGCTTCTATAATATAACGCTGGCTGTGGTCCATCAAAAAGATTAAAAGATATTGGAGTAGGAGGCTGCCTTCCTGTGTCTAAAACACCGTCTTGGTACTGCTCACACTGAGACTTTGAGAATAATTTAGAACAACGTCAGAAATGATGAAACGTTAAAAACTGTATCATGAACAGGACCGGTATTTCTTGTATTTTTAAATGAGCATGCAAACATGGTTCCATTTTAATATCAAACTTATTTAACTTTACAGTTTTTGATCTGTTTTTGCAAAACTCCTCAATCTTTGAAACCCAAACCAGCCTCAGTGGGAGGTGAAGAAACACAGGCAGACATCATCAAAGACCGAACCCATGAAATAATAACTAGAGAAGGCTGGCCTGACTGTAGTCCTACCATCCTTCCACACTTCAGTGGTTTGCTTTTATTAACAAAAACCTTCCTTCCTAATTTCTAGTATTCCACAGTAATATTTGTGAGAATCTCTGAGGTCGGTTTTATTTATTTTTTGTTAGTTTTTTTTTTTTTTTTTCAAAACTGCTGCTCATTGTTCGAGTATAAATTTTATTTCTAAATGTGTCCATGCTCACGTGTCAGTTTGTGTGTACGGTACGTGTCCTGCATGTCAGCATGACTGCAGAGAGAAGAGACACACGATTGCAAAGTTTTAGCAATATTTTCACTTTCTTTAATTTTCTGACTGACATAAAGCTTGACTGGAGCAAGATGAGACAGGAAAAACAGAGACTATTATGTCAATTTATTCTAAGGCTGCAGATTATTAGGGAAACAATATGCAGTGTCATGGTTGGATGTTATGATGACAAAATGGTTTGCAAAAATTTAGCAGCTGATATGCTTGCCACTAGGTTGCTCACCACATCCTGTACTGTGAGCTTTTATATCTCAGCCTCTATCCTATAAATCTGCTCTGAGCTTCTCCAGTAAAGAGTGGCCACCTGACTGACTGAATATATTACAGGCATGTAGAACGTGATGCATGACAGATGTTTATATGACAGCCTGCTGTGTTCAAACTGTCTTTTACAATAATAATATTGCACTTTTTGATATTATGATGACTATCAATCTTTTATGTTTTGCAATTAATTAACCAGTACACTCACCCATCCAGGTTATTAACACTCAAATATATCACTAAACTACCTAAAACAGCTAACTTACACCTATGTTAGATAAACCACCCCAAAAATAAGCTGAAAATAAATAAATATAGCAATAAAATGGTAATTTGTGTAGTACAGCCTTTGTGCATTTATTATATAGTGCAACATGAGAGCACGTATTCTGCACTGCATCTACAGGTTATTACTCCTGGTTGTCCCATCAAAGGTTTATGAGGACTTGGTGTCAATAAAACAAAACGAATTAAAAGATCCTAAAGGCTCACACATCATATTTTTTTCATATCAAAGCAGATGGGTGACAAATTACTGAAAAAAGAGGATGAACTCTTGACCCCTGCTGTCATGGGATCCAGTGTCTGAATTATGCAGTGAGGGGAATTCTGCAAGGAACAGTTTGGATTGATGCAAATCTTTATAAAAAACTTCTCTGCGGGTGATTTTTTTATTTTTTTTATGGCAGAGTAAAAGAAGCGCAAAGCATATGACAAGGAATATGCAAATCATGTGAGTCAGAGTTACCACATTTTAAACCTGCTATTTTTATTCTGTATAGTCTGAAACTCAGCTTAAAGTAGGGATGACTGAATTCAGAGATTGGGTTATTTTATGTGTTTTTTTTTACACATGTGGTTCAGTAAGTGCCTTCCCTGTGTTCAAACTCAAGAGCATTGCCCACAGGGCAGCGCAGGGTTACCCTCTCTATTGTGTGATTAATAATGAAGCAAGAGCCCAGCTGACTACCGACACACTTTATAAAGCTTGTCATCTCCAGGCCAACCTATCCACACACATACTCAGAAGAAGCACTGAGGCGTTGGACACAGGTCATAGTTGTGCTGAGACAGAAAAAAAAAAAAAGCAAGATTATTTGATGAATGACAGGTTTTGTCTGGCCATGCAGAAATGGAAAAACACAAAGTCACACAGGTTTCAAGGACAGTCATGTGCAGGTGCATATTTACCTTAAAAATTACATTATTTGAGTTATTTGGACTGATAATGGCTTGATAATTGTACATTTGGTGACAGCAGTGTAATCTCTGATAGTGTAAATGGCAAAGCTGACTGGAAGCATCATCTGTCCTGCAGTGAGGACGCCCCAACTACATTTACATTCACGTGAAGCTGTAAAATATCACGTTACACCTGAACAAGGTGACGCCAGCATCCACAATGTCAACACTGTCATTGCTGCTGAAAGTCTGCCGCTGTCCGCGGTGCTGAAACCAAACGTGTCGTTATAACAATACCTGATAATGTCATCGTTGTGGCCCAGGTAAAATTTCTGCTTGTGCTCCCGGGTGTTGTACACAACTCCCACACCCGCGACGAAATAGACAATTTCCTTGGCGGCGGTGTAGTACAGGTTGTTGCGGCACTGGTGTCCCCGGTATCCGTAAACCCACTCCAGTCTCAGGTGGCAGTTGGGAGCAGTTCTGTCAGCCATCTCCGCACTTCCCGTCTGTGTCTCTTCGTCGCTGTCACGTAGGCTTTTAAATAAACTCTCATTCACCAACAAAAAAAAAACCAAAACTGGATTTATTTTAAGCCCGCGCGTCCCATTAGTTCCGTCGGATTTTAACCAGTCCAGCTGAAGTGAGTCATTTTTTTAAAGGGTTGTTGACATTAATAGACTTACTGCCCGATGGGTTAAAATGTCTCTCTTCGAAGAGCAGGTTTCTACGCTGTTCTTTTCATTGTGAGAGTCCGGTTGTACTTCTTCTGCTGCGGGCTTCTTGCTCCTCTTCGACACAGATCAAAGCTCCTGTCAAGTCTTACAAAGATGGAGCTGTTCGGTATTTCCACAAGCACCGCCTACAATCGTGACGTAAGAATTTGTCGCCCAATCACATTATTCAGCTCATCCGCGAGCGCTTAAGAGAGAAAGCGTCACGAAGACTCTGTTTTATGGAAAGTCGATTTATCATATAGTATGTACACAGGATATTCGACTCTAATAAATTTTAAACATTCATTTTTGCGAGGAAAAATGTTTCAGCAATTAATTTTCCCCATCATGAACATTTCAGTTATTTTAAACGTTTTCCAAGTGTAAAAGCATAAATGTAAATCTAAGAAGAGAAAAACCCATATTGATTTCTGAAACTAAAATTCGTATTTAAGAAATAAAAGTGGATATTATATGGTACAGTGACCTGCCAAATTTGTTCGATTGTTTTCGCTGGGAAAAATTCTGCCTAATGTTAAAATCAGTTATGAATGGTCTGTATTCAGTTTTATATAT